CATCTAACAGAGAGAAAGTCAGAGAAGTGAATGGAGCACTTCACCATGACTTAGACCCACAGTCCATTCTCAGCTTTGCTACTACCCTATGGTCAAGTCACTTCACTTGTACAGCTCAGTTTTTCTGCCTGTAAAACAGATTAGTGAATACTTACCTCCACTGTTAAGCACTTTGAGATCCACTGATGAAGTGCTATACAAGAGCTGCTTGTACACTTGTCCTTTCTGGTCCTTGCTATATTAAGAGTGGATCATAAATAAGGCTGTAAGGTTGGTCAAGTGACCACAACCTCATGTGAACACAGTGATTTCTCTTGAAGCCTTCTTTGCCTCATTTAGACTGACGCGCACACATGATTTGAAGACCTGCTTCATCTGACACCGATTCCAAGCTATCAGGGTGAGGAACCTTACCATGTACATAGCATACAAGACATACATACAAGGCTATGTAAGCAGCATCTTCAGAACAGTATAGGTATTTGATGGCATAAAAGTTTTTTCATATTTTTATATAGTCTTAAGTGAAGAATGATGGGAAGCCCACTACATCTCTCTACCAACATGCTCCAAAATAGCCAGGAGCATGCTCACAGCCCTGCCTAAGGTTAAACTGCAAAGCATAAGTTCAGGGTGACCACCTGCACCACTTTCAGTGCAGCACCTGTTTTCCAATCTAGTTTGCCACCCACTTCAAAGTTGGTTGTAAGAATTTGCAATACAAAGTCTCAGCCTAGCAAGTTTCTTTTAATTTTTAAATTTACAGCATTTTAGTTCTACAAATGTAAAAAAACTTTACAATGCTTTTTATGCTTAGAATGATCAAGAACAACTTTGATTTAATAAAATTTGGTAAGCAGTTGATATGGCCAATTGCTTTCTATAATGTGAACAAGATACATTTTAATACGGCCGAGACATTTAGCTTTGACAAAACCCCAGCATGTGTAGTAAGTGCTTTTCATAACATTTACTACACATACAAGTAGGTATTTAAGAAGTGCTTCTAAAGGTTACCAATTAAATACACATTTAAGGTAGTTCACATCCAACTGATATATTTAGGTGTCAGTCTATTGTGACAGTCTTTGTCGCTAAAGGGCAAGTTGGTTGGGGGTTTTTTTGTTTGTTTGTTCTGTTTTGTTTTATAAAGTACTACTCCCCCAAAATTACTAAGTGCAAGGCTAAGGTTATGACTAAAGTTACAGAGCAAGCAAGGAAACTTAAAAGTAAAGAGTAAGCTTCAAAAACTGTTCCAAGCTGCCATACCACTTTTTTTCCTTTCAAAATCACGTTATAACTTTAAATCACTTTAAGCTCCCATTAATGTATTTATATGCTAAGACATTGTGGCACCAAAGACAGAGTGTCCCCCCATATTACTTTTGATTTTCCTTGATCTTGCTAGTGTGTGTCACAACCTCCACTTTACTAAAAATGTAGTTATTTATAGGTTATTGATCAACCATTGTACAGTTACTTCATAGCTTTACATTACTGCCCATACTATATCACAAGCATTACAAATCCTATTAAAAAAGCAACCCCAGTAGTGGCATACAAGAATAAATTAACCCAAAAAATTTAATATTACCATTTATTGGTGACAAACACTACGTTTTACTTACATTCCATGGGGAGAAAAAATTCCAGCGTAAACAATGAACTGAAGCAGTACTTAACTTGCAAGGCTATCGTGCTTTACCTGGACCATATGCAGAAAACTTTATTGTGCACAGTTGCGTGCACAATAACACAACATCAAAAGCAACACAGTTTATATATAAACATAGGTAATTTTTTTCAGCCCTACATGGAGATGTAATTAAACAGTATAAAGCACTCAAGGAAAATCAATCTGCAGTTTTATATGCACTACATTGAGATCATATCCTGTAATGTAGTGAGCTGTGTGCCACATATATATATAGCTATATATCTATATTATATGTATAATATAGATATATATGACACAATCTTTAAAACATAGATCAGAAATCACTTAGACTCCTCTTGCATTCAAGTCCCCCCCGCTCCCCCCTCAAGAAAATTAGAAATTAACCAAAAATGATCAAACAAGGTTTAAAATTCCTAAAACGTTTAATTCATACAACCGTTGGAGAATTAAGCTTGGCTTGCCAAGATCCTGGACTTCTTTTTTTTTAAATAAAGTGGAGGGCACACAATTTGTTTCCAGTGAAACTTTGCTATTTCAGTAAAAACAAAATAACCACATACATGGATATGATCGTCCCAAGTTAGTTCACAGATAACATGTCAGTCCCAGAAGACAAAGTTTCTAAACTGTGCTATTTGTTCTAGATACAATTAAGAAACTTTTAAATGAAAAATTTATAGTGTCATTTCAATCAAAACAATAATGAAACTAAAAATTTATCACTGTTTGAAGAGAAAGCAACGGTTATGATTTAGATACTACAGTAGGTTGTAAAGACTGTAGCACTCTAAAACAGTTAGGTTACATTAATAGGAAGCATTTGATTTTCTCTGGTGCTTTCAGGTTTGGGTCCAGTCAAAAGCCTTTTTAGGCAGTGCTGTCCAGTGTTTGTCCCAAAGTGTTTGAGTTAGCCGGTTTGAGGAGAGGGTCGCTTTCCATTTCTTGTTTCACACATCTGGAAGCAAGAAGCTACCTGTTAATTCAGATGATCATATGGCAACACCATTTCAACCAACATAAACTTTTTAACCATGAAAAAAGTTTTACAGACAAATGACGCAAGTCATATGAAGCAACAGGTTCTATAATTGTCTTTAACAGATAAAATGCATGTACCTGTTCCACTATTTAATTATCTCACCTTCTGGCAGGGAAAAGTTGCTCTAATAAGCAAAGAAAATAATTTACCATTCCATAACAGCATTTTGCAGAGAGACCGCATCTAATGCAGACATTTGGGTTATGGCTGTGTAATCAGAAAGCTCCCAGAAAGAGAGGAACAACTCAAGGTTTGTTACAGCAGCTAGAAAAGAACCATGCATTTACAGACCCATCAAATCATAGTTTCAGGCCAAATGGGACCAAGCAATCCAAGATCCTGTGTACAGAGGCCATTAAAAATTTTATCCTGTTGTCCTTGTATTGAACCCAATAACTTGCGTGCGACACCATGAAAATTACAAGGCATCATAAAATCAATTCTCGTCTCTTACCAAGATGACAATTTAAGACTCAATATTTTAATTCTCCTGGCAACCCCCTCCCCCACTGACACACAAAATTCTACCTGCCCTTAATCCATTATAGGTCATAGCCAATTTGACTTTAGCTCTAGAAAAATTGCTTTTACTCACACAGACATTGGTCCATTTCCTGTTCTTGGCATCTCTGTACTTTGTTGGTCCAACTCAGACAGCAACTTTAAAATGTTCAGTGCAGCCTAAAGGAAAGAGATATAGTTAACTGGTGGCCTTTAATTCATTTGGTGACACTTGTTTCCAGTGCCCATTGGCTAACAGTAAAGCCTTGTCTAAATTCCTTTACTCCAACACTGAAGTATAGTGAAAAAATCCTGTTAAAAAACTTGCAAGACTAAGTGTTAGTAGCATGGCTTGAACTTTTCTTAGCAAAGGGAACAGTAACAACAAAAAGGTGGTACCCAATTAACACTTTGCCCTGGCTCCTGGTGTCCTTAAAGAGGCCATTAGAAATGAATACATTGGTAATCAGACAGCTCAGAAAAAAGGTTAATAAACAGAACCAGAAGACATTTTGCAGGAACAGCAAGCAGCCAAATCACATTAGGAGGAAACAACTGATTATATAGATGGGTACTGTGCAACTAATAGCCTGTGGGTACTTGGTTGCTATGTAAAAAAGCTTATATAAAAGAAGCCATTGGGTGAGCTGATGGGTTTGGATTTTGTTTTTTTAAATATTTTTGTTTTAAGATTAATTATAGTTTTGTATATGTAAAGTGTATGAGTTTGTGCCATGATAGTCAAAGGGCTGCATACACACATTCAAATAACCTAGGAGACTTCTTTTAGGTTCTCTCTCCAGATAGAGAAACTTACCCAGAGCCGTGTGTACAAACATTCAAATGCTAAAGCCCTGAAGAATGGGGGGCTTGCAGTGTCAATACTGTGCAGTGGGCGGAAAGGGGGGAAGTCTCAGCATGCTCTGCAGGCTTCCTTAGTCTGCCTGGTGACAGATCACAGCAGTGTATAGGGAAAGAGCTGGAGGACTATGTTTTCTTCTGAGAGAAGCCATGGCACAAATCACTCCCAGGAGAGTTTTACATCCCTGGTTGCTCCCAGGTCAGTTCTCTCCTGTAGTGGCCATTTGCACCCCGAGAGAAAAAGCCTGAACATTTGTACACACACGTTTTCTCCTGGGAGCACAGCAACTCTACCAGGAGAACCAACGTCTGTATAAGGCCAAAAGTTACTCTGCAAGGCAGGGTTTTTTTACTCCCCAAATCTGCCACTTGTTCTGGTTTGTGTATTTAAACTCTTTAGAACTGGATTTGCAGGTAGCTAGGAAAACTTCAAAACTGAAGAAGTGACAGAAGTCAGATTAAAGGAAAACTCCTGCAAAATTTAAGAGCATAAAAATCACTACAAGAGACTGAGCTTATATATAAGAAGTAACCACAATGTATTTAAGAAAATCTATTTAAGAGCTAAAAATCTGCTGTGCTGTCCTAACCTTCTAAAAAGGTTGCACATTAGAACAGTTTCCTGCTGGACAACCCAAGAATGAAAACTTCTTTGAATTGTAACAGACCATATACAAACTGCCAACATTGTACTGCACACTTTCCAGATACCTAAAAGTGCCCGGCACTGTGGCACATACATTTATATAAATGGTGAAATGTACATTAGCATTGAGAAAATGGAAGCGACATACTTTTGAACTAAAACACAAAGATGTTTTAGTCCAAAAGCGCACCACTGCCATTTTCTCACCACTGACGCATGTTTTGCCATTTATATAAATGCAAGCGATGCAGAGCCAGGAGCATCAGCTCGCGTGCGGAGCAGACACTATTAATTGAGTCTGCTCTGGCACATCCAAGATGACAAAAGGTATGTGTATAAATGCCCAAAAACACTTCTTCTCAAAGTCTGCAGTTTAGGAAACTAAATCTGTTGTAAATAAATATTTCAACACCATTAATCTTTTAAAAAGAAGGAGTTTACAGATTTGAAAGCACCTCATGGTATCTAAAGGTGAGCTGCATTTCTTGCATCTTGGTTTACTTCCCAGCAGGTGTAAAATGAAGAAATGTTGGAGCAAAGTGGTGTTCACAGTTCTCAAGAGTTACCAGACCATTCAATCAAACTTAAAAAAATATATATTTAAAGAAAACCTGCATCTATGGCAAGAAAGCAAATACATTTTGCGTAGACAAGAATGGTAAATGTGTCCTTTAAAATTCTTCTTGCATTACTCAAATTATTCTTGGACTACTTCTGAAAACTGTACCGTATCAGACAAAAATATAGCCATGAAACAAATGCTGTGTAATTGGCTATACAGCTGTGAAACACTGTCTTGGTTTATCAGCTGCACTTGCTTCTCAGAGCAGAACCAAGAAGAAAGCATTTCAACAGTAGTTATCATACCATATCATGGCAAGATTCTACATCCTTTCCAATTCCATGACTGATCAGTGGTGGCTGAGAGGAACAGTTTATAAGAGATACAAACTCATTCTTGTTATTTTTGGGAAAGTCTTTATATTCAACCTGAGGAAAATAAAGAGAAGTGCTGTAGTTACTTTCACTCAAATTGAGAAGTAAATATATCACATCCACTATCTGTTAGAATACTGGCTTATACGATGGAACCATGTTCTCTCTACCTGTACATTTCTTCTGCCTAGAAAATAAACCAGTA